GACACAACTAGAGTGAAATGTCAACTATTTGCCCAGAACTCGATAGATTTTATTTTCCTTTCGATCAGTGGCCGATTTTCTCATGTATATACAGACCAAGTAAAGAAATCCTTAACATTTCCTTGAGCTATCAATACAGATCCAAGTACTAACGCCAAATACTCTGATCGTCCGTAATTTTCTTCATATTTTCGGAAAAAAAAAAAATGTATCGTTTCAGATCTGAGTGTTCAGGGTCTCCCAAAGCGATCTAGGGGAGAATCTGAGGGTGACAAACACGAGTTCTAAGGCTTACACGTGGCGTGTGTACTATTTTTAGAACCCCTGTGGAGAAGAAGTATCATATTATAACGTTTCTGCAGGCACAAAAAAAAACATCGATAGACAAGAAAAATCATTAGTCATACACATGTCGAAAATTTGGTAAAAACGAGAATGTTTAGATCTCTTGGGCAAATTTTAAAACTAAATACTTAACCACAACGTTTCCATTCATCAGTCGACACTATAATATTGATTATTCGTCATAATTACGATGTATGAATATCTAACCATGTCGTGTCAGCGAGGACACCATTGTGGTAAGATACTACTTGTATGCATACATCATACTACACTCATATATAGGGTGTTGTGGCTTCTGATAAAAGATCCCTGATTGTAGGGTGATTCATTCTTCAGGTAAATTCAAAGTTTGCTTACTCGGACTTTAGTGTCTAAAAATAAACTTAAGGACGAGGATCAGTGCTAACTTACGTTTTACATGACATACAGCTTTGGTCTTTTTTGCATTTAAATCGATATTGATGATAGTTTGGGCTAGTAAACAATAACTTTTTAAAATTATTGCTGAAAGACAGTTTTTTTTTTTTTTTTTTTAAACATGGAATACATCAGTGTTGCGTGTTTTAAAATGTTTTTGTATAAAAACTTGTATAAAACATCCTATTTTTTTATCTATAAGTTGAAAAAAATACTCTTGTGGTCTACAGACACTGAAAGTAAGTTTTAATCTCCGTATTGTTATCCACATGTGAAAACTGAATAAAATTAGTTCCAACTAAAAATAAATAATTGCAGTGCATGAAAATAATGTCTATTGAAATTTAAAAGCCTCTCATCCAGATTTTTAAGCAGATAAACAATGCCCAATCGGTTGAGAAGAAATGATCGTCGGATCAAATTACAGAGTCATACGAGTTTGTATAGTACACGTGTACATTACCGACGAAAATAAATTAAAACCGTAGTACTGGATATTGAATTTTCGTCAAGTAATGGTGGAAGGGTGTGGGGTAAATCTAGTAAAAGACCTTGTTTGATAAAATGTGATTGATATTTTTATTTCGAGGTGGTGTACAATAACGTATACGTATCGCAATGCTGCACGAGAAGGTAGGGAAGCGCGTACACATATAGGTAGGGGGAAGAAACTATGTCAATTTGAGTCACTGCCCTCGATGATAATTTAATTTAGAGCCAATACCATCGCTCCGTCAGCAGCGGAAATATGTATGTCTCAGCACCACGCGCACACCTGGAAAGAGAGAGAGAATAGAATGAGAAAAGAAAAATCCGGACGTAACAAAAAAAAAGTGCACGCTGTTCGGAGCACATTCCTACCCGGAACATAAATTGTGTAACTCATGCATATACAGCTTGTACAGAAACACGTACACCCAATTTTCATTGTTATCCTTTTTTTTTTTTTTTTTTTTTTTGTACAATCGACACTGCTGGGAAAATGGACACCTGCCAAATAATATTTGCCGAGTTGATTTCATTTTGCAATTTTCTTTCTTGCCTTGCCTCTCTTACGCGTCAGCTAATTTTTGTGTGTGCGTGTCTTGGTTTCTTTATTATTTGTCAATTTTATTTAAAACTGTCAATCATTTGCTTTTCTGAACAATAAATATCCATCGCTTCTGTATGTTGAAAAAAAAATTAAAAAAAAGCATACCTGTGATAGTGAAATAATCATAAAAAAAGCTGAACAGAAAAAATTTTTTGTCAAAATAAATTGAATTCTCGTAATTTATGCCGTTTTTGACAGGTCCGTTTCAGCTTGTGAAATTAGAATAGTAACACCCAATCTCCTCGTTAGGCATACCATTCACTAATTTCAATATGCACAAGTCCAATTTCTCCTATAGCATTGCCTCTATACATACATTTTTTATCTCGTCTTTTACATACCGAGTCCGTGATGTATATCCTAAACTTTTTTTTTTCTCCCTCCTCCGCGTGTAATTTCACTCGAGCGTGATTGCTAACCACTCCCTCAACGTACAGCTGATAAATATGATTTTTATGACAAATCGTACGGTGAAAGTAAAAATATTCCGCTTAGAGAGAAGATACGAATGATTTCTACACACCTGTATTATTCCACAGATTTGTATATTAGCCATTCCACGAAAAATTAAATTAGTACCTAGAAAAAGAAATTTATTATGCACAGTCATCCGATGCCTTTTGAACGAAATTTTAATCAGCAGAGATGTAATTTAAAAAATTTTTTTTTTATTACAATCCCATCAAAAAAAATTGTCACTTACAAAACGTATGTCCAGAACATGATTTAGAAAAATTTCCAGTTCTCGTTCGTTATTTTTTTCTCATTCATTAAATACATACCTCTAGTGTATCGATTGATTGTCATCCCAATCGGGCAACACGGTCAGTTAAAGCTAATAATCTCGTATTCCACGAAGGTACATACGTATAATTCCCGGACGCCGAAATGAGCAATCGACGTAAATAAATAATAATAAAAAAATAAAAAAAAAAACTGTCGTACTTTTTGTAACGAATGTTATTTTCCAATGATGCCTGCGAGAATTTTTGTTTTATTACCTGTTACAAATTGACACGAAAACTTTTGTGATATGTATCGTTGCGAGTTTATAACTTTCGAATGAAAAAGTGTCTGATGAACGAAAATAGAAGACGGGATGAGCTTACGGTTAACGCCCGCACAATTGGTGAAATAAACTTTCAAGCTGTAGTCATCGGCATATAATAGATTCTTCCTCCAGCACATCTTATTTTCCGGAAAACACGTTTGGAAAAAAAAAAAAAGAAAAAAAAAAGAGGAATCCGAGATCGGCAGACGGCGTGCATGCGTCGATATAATCGACAAGTCGAGTAAGTAGGAATATATGCACGATGTGTGATATTGTGCTCCAAAGAGAGAGAGGCCACAATGTAGGTGCTCGTATAGGTATACGAATATAGTATGCGCGCGCGAGCAAAGCGTGAATAGCGTGATCGATCGAGCCGACCTAGACCTTGAGCGAGGCCACCTTTCGTGCGGGACACGCCCGTACATAATATACACACGGGCATATGTACATCATAATATTTTATAAAGCAAAGGGGTAACGCGCACTTTCATCCTCGTGTTTGTATTTTTTTCCCCCGTTGGGGCATAATTTTTTTAATAAAGTTTCATATGAACTTGTTGAGTAGCCGATTCGAAAGATCGCTGGAGACGGACTTGAAATTTTTTTTGCTCTGGACTTTAAAATCGTATGCAACTGCGTTTATATAGGACTTGTATGATGTGTTGCGGAAGCGTATTGATTTCCGTTGTGGCGTTCTTGCGCTATTGTTGAAGGTACTTATATTCCTTGCAACAATTGTTTTTGATACATCAAAAACAAAAAATACATGTTTATTTCAGATGATGCAAAGATTGTTTCTCGGAGATTGGTATACCTAATTCAGACTACTTTGTGGTACATTTATATCAATTGTGTGTAAGAAACCTTTTTTTTTTTTAAT